CTGTAAAAACAAAAGAAATTATACATTGCAATTGCAAATGATAAATGATAAATGATTATTATGAATCAAGAATAGGCATTGAATGCAATCATGCAAAATATTGGAGTGCATTTTTCTTTTATTAAGTGATAAAAATTAAAAAGTTTTGATTTGATGCATTGAATTTCACAAATAAAAGTATTGTCAAAAATTTGAATAAAATTAAAATTGACTTACCTAATTGTTCTCTTGTTGATAGTTTGCTTCTAGCAATACTTATAAATATTTCAGATAATTGAGTATGTTTAAATCTTCATAAAAAAGAACCATAGATCTTACCTGTTCCTAATTCTTGGTACCTGCATTTTTTTCTCCTTAGCAATTCTTTTATGTTTAATATATTACTCGTTTTCTACAGTTAATTAATATCAAATTCTCCTTAATGATATCATTTAATTTGATTTTACGATTTATTGAAATATCCTTAAATTCTGATCATCTAAGATTATATCTATATCAATTCTTACCTGAAAGCGTTCAAAATCATAATAATTTGTGTTGTCCATATCAAATATGCTATCCAAGACCGCCATCTGATTCAAACTGTTTTGTAACAAAGTTTAACCTAACTTATCACTATTGACTTGTCGACTTAATTTATTCATTTTAAAAATTCCAACATTGTGCAACCTTAGGTCAAACGTTTTTACTCAAACTCGACCCATCCACGTCTTCAAGTTGAAACAATTCATACTCTCTACGTTAAGTGTTTTATTCAAATGTAACTTGTTCATTTTTCAGCTAAATTTATCTGTATACCGTGTTTAAGTCCTAATGAAGGTCAAACGTTCTATCAAAGTTTGATCGTCCAATAAATTCAACTTGTCCAATGATTCAAATCTCACATATTTCCAACTCAGTTTTAAATATGACTGTCAACTGACTTGATAAATTAGACTTCTGTATCTAATTCACTCACTTGTATATTCGATCTTACCTATCTCAATGGACTATTTCAATTAATTTTTAAATTAATTTATGAGAATTTAAAAAGAAGAATATTTGCTATTGAATTGATATTATTTTCGTCATGAAAAAAACCTTGCATGTCGGAAACAGTTAGGAGCAGAGATGGTATTCGAACAAGAAGATTTGGCCAATGTAATAGATCGATCGAATCATCATCATGCATTTCACTAATGCTTTGTAAACATTTCCATAATTCCATGTGTACTTTGTTAATTTTTTCTTTCTAAAATTGATAATTTATTTCAAATTCAAAATAGAAATACTTCAATAATTCAAGTATCCTTTTAGCAAAAAAAAGTATGGAATATTCGTTTTTATAATAGAAGTTCCAGCAAAAAAAAAAAAGAAAAACCACTTAAATTAGAAAGTATTCATTTTTCTGTAATTTAAATTAATAGGAAATAAAGAAATGATTCGATTAAATTTCAATTAAAATTCAGTATCGTTATTTAAATAGATGAATAGTACCACCTATTAATCAAAGTAATATACTTCAATAATTTATAGCTATTAATTAAATTTCAATGACTCAGTATGAGAGCAATAATAATAATTAATTATGGTACACTAATAATAATAATAATAATGATAATAGTAATAATAATAATAATTAACTTACACACTCTTTTACATTTTCGGGATTGTAAATCAGTAAAGCTGATAACAAAGCCAATTGTCGATTATCGAGTTGCATATGATTAAAACTTGCAGCCAAATTTATTAAATTTTCAAAAATTTTTGTCGTATAATCCAATGCCGAATAATCACCATTAGCGGCAATATAAGTTGTATCATTGGCTAACATGAGACAGCGTTCTGTAGGATTGAATTCGTGAATAATTTGTAGAATTTTTACCACTAACCAACTTTTCGTAACGATTTCCTCTTGCTCTGATGGATTTAACTAAAAAAGAAATTAATCAATTGAATATAATCTGCGATCATTTATTCCTAATCAATACATAAAATTATGCATTTTGTAGTAATCATTTTACCATATAATGTTAAATTTAAATCAAATAATGACAAAAAAACTCAAAATTTCTTATGTGCTTGAAATAATTTAAACTTTAATTCAATTAATAATTGGTGATTAAATTAACAAACAGTGCTGTAGATTTCGATTGTTTCAGCGAATTTCCGTACTTGATGAGTGATTAAAGCCGTTAATTCAGATAATTGTTCTGATTTTATATTTGATTTGAATTTGTGCTGAAAAAAAATGACAAAAATTATTAATTAAAATTTAGAAGAAAGCAAAAAAGTTTTTCCACTGACGATACCGTCAAAATTTGTTTCACTTTAAATTCTTTGAATTGCAGTAATTCTGGAATGATTTGAATAAGTAATGATGAAATTTGAAATCATAGTAATATATGAAAGAAGGATAAGTTAAATAATTAATATAATAGTTAATATTACTTATTTTATTGAAAAAATGATTAAGTATAATGACAACGAACCAAAAGGTTATAATGATATATACTTCCATATCAAATGAAAAAATTAGAAAAATTAATAATTCAATAATGGCATGAGATAAGTCAAAAAAAACGGATAAACATTTTCCGGTGCTTAATTCGAAAATTTCAACAACAATAAATAGCAATAATTATATCAAAAAAAAAAAATTGAAAGAATTATTTCTACACTACTCATATAAGGATTAATGTA